ATAATTGATAAAAAAAATGATCTAATAATTTGACCAATCGTAAAGCGTTATTCAATTTTATGTGATCGACCAATCACAAGAAAGTTATCCTATATGGTATATACTATACTACTCTAAACCAGGGACAATGATTTTCTGCATTTCACGGAATGCCGCAGAATCACGGAATTGGTGGATAAACACGAAATGCGTCAAAAATAGCACGGAATTGTCGCAGAAAGTAGGAATATGGCGTGGAAATGTAAGGATTTTTATATAATCTGAAAAGTCCCGATGTAGAAAATAAACGAACCTAAAAGACGAGCGTGAGCTCAAGCTAAATTTTTGAATAATATCCGAAATAATCTAATAATGTTTGCAGAATATTTGAAATTTCTACTATAACAAACGCAGAATTTATAAATTTTAATGCACGGATTAATACAGAATTTATAAATTTGGAGCGCAGAACTACGCAGAAATTTATTTTATCACGGACGGAATTGACTATTTATCACCGCAGAAAATCATCGTCCCTGCTTTAAACCTGGACTATCACGTGTTATTATACTACACGCGCGTGGTGTAACCCAAATTCCCAAATTGTAGATGCAACGCGAAGAGTGCGCGGTGTAACCCAAATTCCCAATTTTATATATATGCTTTTTTTTTTTTTCTCGACAGAAAATATGGGTAAGTACATGAAATAGTAATTACTTAGAAAAGCCTCTTTATTATTTTATGATTATTACACACTTTTCCTAAACGCAAACTTCACTTGGGGTAGTGCTTACGTTTATTATACATTTTCCTGTTTTTTTTTTTTTATAGTATTTCGTCAAAATATACACACTTCAGTGTAGTGCTTTATACACTTAAACAGAAGTAGTGTCTTTTCTTTATCTTTTTTTATTTTATTTTATTTTTTATTTTTTTGTGTGCTTCATAACACACATTTCACCCGGTGTAGTTTTTTCGTTATACACACTTCAGAATAGTGTTTTATACACTTAGATCTGAAGTAGTGTTTTTCTTTATTTATTTTTTTATTATACACACTTCAGAAAGTGTTTTATACACTTAAATCAGAAGTAGTGTTTTCTTTTTTTTTTTTTTTTTTTTATTATACCACACTTCCCCCGAAGTAGTGGTTTTTCTCATGCAAACTTTGCCCGGAGTCGCGTGTTTATAACATATATTCCCCCCGAAATATGTTTTTTTTTCTTGCGCAATCTTCCCCCGAAAAGCGCACTTTATAACACATATTCGCCCGTTTATGTGTGGATTTTTTTTTTCGTGCAACCTTCACCCGAAAGGCGTGTTTTATAACACACCTTTATCCAAGAGTGTGTTTTTCGTTATTTCGTAGTAGTTTTATTTTATTTATTTATTTTTATTGCGCACACTCCAACCCGAAGATGCGTTTTTAATATACATAAATGATTTTATTTTTTGTTACATCTCGCTGAAGTTTTTTTGCTTTTTTAACAAATAATTCTTTGTTTATTTAGTGTTAGAAAAATCAAGAGCAATATGTTGTGATTCGTCGTGGTCGGTGATTTAGCATTTTTATAATATGTACGATGTCACTTCTTTATCTTCTTGATTGTATACATACGTTGTATGTTGTTGTATGTTTTACTGAGACTACAAGAGTACCAGGGCTAAATTCACTATTGAGTTTAAAATACATGAATTTGAAATTTTTACTAAGTAAACATAAAAATTGAAATTATTGCAAGTTTTACAACTCTTAAGTACCACTAGAACTCATATATTGTTATTTTTATTTTTATTTAATGGTAATAAAATAAACTTGTATATACAGTATTCTAGACATACTGTAATTATTACAAGCGATTGTTAAGGTAACAATTGTTTCTACAAGGCAATTTTGCCTTTTAACATTCGCAGCGACTTTTTTAATAACTATATTTATATTAACCATTTGTGGCTAATAAAGCTTCTCGTACACTTCAACAAGAATTGCAGCTCATGTGACAGATAAAATCTCCTTCTAGAAAGCTAGTCATTGAATTAAATCAACCTGAACTCAAATTAAGAAATTTATTAGCGACCGTAATGAATTGCAATTTTTGAATACCGCATCCTATTGTTTTTGAAGAACCAACGCGTTTTTAAAACATCTTGGTGTAAACTACAAATATGTCATATATTTTGTCAACAGGACATACCGGCAAATTTCTCATATAATAAAGATTTTATGACGTCGATTAACAGATTTTTCGTCGAGAAATTTAGCAAGCTTTCTTGCAACTCGATCATTGAGCAATTTATGAAATCTCATTTACAGTAGTCTTCTTTTTTTTAAATAAAATATTTTTTAAAATTTAATTTTAAATTACTTATTAAGTAGAATTTAAATTCTCTCCAACGAGCCAAAATTTTTATAAAGCATTTTTGAATCTCGATGTCAAATTTTCGAGTCGCAGTATCTTATATATTATTTGCTACCAACAAAAGCCACAAAAAAAAAACTCACATAATTATACATGTACGTACGTACTTAGCAAGGACACGTAAAATTTTCGAAAGAAATTGAAATTTTTTGAAATTTGGTCAAAAATTTTCGAAATTTTTCAGCAAAATCAAAAAATCACATGAAAATAATATTATTGGACGAGACCAACTTTTTATAGAATTGAATTGAAATTCTTGTTTAAACTAGTTTGATAGGTCTAAATAAATTGAAATTGCTTATAGAAGGCTCGAAATATTTAACGAAATACATAAATCAATCGAAATTTAACGAATCAATCGAAAATTTTGCTTTAAATCGAAATAATTTTTACGTGTTCCTGGTTGTGCAGTACAAACCACATGACCCGGGTTATTGGTGTCCCGATTTTTCTAGAAATTATAGGTGAGCAGATCAGTATAGTACAGGCCAATTTTTAAAGTTATGCTATACGGATCTACCTGGTCCGTATACGTAATATAGATTTAAAAATCGGCCACCTGACTTTTTTTTTGTAAAAATAATTTGTGATAGCACGTGGAATTGTGGAATTTTAAATCGTTTATCGTCTTCACCATAGTTCTCAGTGGTTAATTATCCTCAGTGAACTATGGGTAATAACATCTCAAGCACAGCTACTTCAATAGCGACTGCCGGCATTGATAGCTATGTTAGTGAACTTGGAGATATAGAATATGAAAGAAGGTAATATCAATGTCTTATTATAATTTTCGTCAGGCCTCACTGATCTTATTTTTCTACAGCTTAAGTAGTGCACGTTTTATGAAAACAATACGTGGGCGCCATAAAGAAGGGCTTGTTGTTATAAAAATTTTCATAAAGCCAGAGCCTGGCTTGTCTTTGTCGAACGTGGTTAAATCGCTTCAAGGTGGGATAAATTTACCCTTGGAATTCTACGATTTACATATATATACGTATACTTAGATCGATCTGTTTTTATTTGGATTAGACGAAAGAGATGCATTGTCTGAAGTCCCTAATGCATTCTCATATCAAAGAATAATTGAAACAGAGAAAGCTGGATATCTAATAAGGCAGTATTTTTTTAGCAGTCTTTACGACCGTATAAGGTTAGAATTTAATATTATAAACGGGCGAAAATTCGATCATAAATACTCATTATTATATTTAATCTTTAGCACACGTCCATTTTTGAATTGCATCGAAAAAAAATGGATAACATATCAAATTTTGTGCGGAGTACACGATGCTCATACTCGAGGGGTCTGTTCTTTTTGCGGTTGTAAAAATCATTGAGATGTTCGTTGTTTTAAAACCAACTTATTTATAGATTTATCATGGAGATATCAAGACAGAAAATGTTCTTGTCACATCATGGAATTGGGTATATTTGGCCGATTTCGCAGGATATAAACCGACATACCTTCCAGAGGTTTGTTATAAATATTATTGACAAATTTTTCAAACGGCTCTCATCATCAATTTTTTAATAATTTAAATTTATTTTAGGATAATCCTGCTGATTTTTCGTTCTTCTTCGATACATCATCGCGAAGAACTTGTTATATTGCTCCAGAAAGGTTTTATAAACCTGGTAGTGAAATTGACAGGAGAAAGGTTTCATGTCTTATATACATAATTTTCAATTTAATAATTAGCCAAGATAAAACTTAATTTTTTAATACATTATTTATTCTTAGGGTGAACTTGAGTTTGGAGAAAAAGACGGTGCTATTACTCCTGCTATGGATATATTTTCTTTAGGGTGTGCTATGGCATTATTTTATTTTTCTAGTGCCTTTGCTTTACAATTATAATATGCTAATTTCCTCCTATAATTTGTCACAATTGATATTCAGTTGCGTGATTGCAGAACTTTTCTTAGAGGGTACACCAATATTTTCTCTAGCTCAATTATTCAAATATAGGACTGGAGAATATGATCCAGGTGTTTATCTAGAAAAAATTGAGGATGCAGACATAAGGGTGTGTGAAATTCTATGAAAACAAAATACTTATGTATTTAGAAATGAGATTAATTGTGTAAAAATGTTGTTTTTAGGCTATGGTGAAACACATGATCCATGTAGATCCTTCACAACGATATACTGCAGAACAATACTTACAAGAATGGTATTTCATTTATTAATTTATTTTATCTGACTGTGACTATGAATTTGTCTTCCTTAATGTAAGATATTTATTCATGTTAAGGCGTGGCACGGCATTTCCGCAATACTTTTATACTTTCCTTCATCAATATATTGGTTCGGTGACCGATCATCATAATCAAGCTCATCCAAGAACTTTGGCTACTAATGGCACTAACAAAACTGTTGAACCTCAAGGCTCTAATATTGCAACTAGCACCATTGTAAATACAGATGCGGATGATAAAATAGAAAGAGTTTACTATGAGTTTGATAAAATTGCATTTTTCCTTGGATTTTATAGTGAGAATGTGCAAGACACGGAGATGGTTGTTAACAATAGCCATTCCGATAAAGTTGGTGAAAGTTCCCGCCCTATTATAGAAGGTGTGCTTTATAAGTTTTTTTTATAATTCTTGTCAATGTTATTCATTCTGAAAAGTCTATTGATTTTCTGACTTAATTTTACTAAAGTATCATCACCAAATGCGACAGTATGTATCGATTTTTATTGGTCAATGAGCTTATTTTTTGAAGCTAATAATAAAAAATATTTCATGCTAGCCAGCGTTAACAGTTGATCTTCATATACCAAACTATGATTATTTTGCCCTTAAAAATAAAAAACGAAAGAAACATGCAGGTATATATTTTTTAGTAAATATCTCTTAATGTAAATCAAGATACCTGACTAATAACAATTTTATGTGAAGATGATGGAGCATTAATATTTCTCTCTTTAATATGCGCTACTATCCGAAATGCTGCATATCCTTCGTCAAAACTTCATGCGTTGGATATGTTACTTGCAATCGGGCAGCATTTGGAAGATGAATTTAAATTGGATCGTTTAGTCCCTTATTTAATTGCACTTTTGAGTGATGAAGTTGGTCTTGTTAGAGCTAATACTGTCAAAACATTGGCGCATTTGGTTTGTGAAGTTTTAAATCTCTTTAATTTTTGCAAATTACACATACTTATTTTCAAACTTCTATAGCTTTCCATGGTTGATACTATTACTCCTTCAAACGCTACTATTTTTCCTGAATACATAATGCCTAAACTTCGTAAATTCGCTACGGATCCTGAAGTTCTTGTAAGGATAACATATGCTCAGTGCATTGCAATTTTTGCAGAGACAGCGCTACGATTTCTTGAATTAACACAAGCAAGTATTTATATTCTTTAATCATTTTATGTGAGTAGCAAAAGCATTGAAATAATTTTATTTTTATCATTATCAGCAATTTAAAGCAGAAGACTATCTAAATGTAACTGATAATGATGCTGAAATTGAAGGATCATATGAGGTAAAGAATTTTTCTATAAAATTTGTTTTTTTTTTTTTTAAGAATTCAAGATTGTTGATCTAATTTTTATTAATTTAAGGCTACTTATGACGCCACTTTACATGATCTTCAATCAATTATACAAGAACAAGTGACCACTCTTTTAATTGACACTGATAGTGCTGTTAAACGTGCTTTATTGTCAAATATCACTAGCCTTTGTATTTTTTTTGGTAAACAAAAAGCCAATGATGTGTTACTGAGCCATATGATAACATACTTGAATGATCGTGATTGGATGTTAAGAAGGTTAGCACATACATACAAACATATGAGGATATAGTATTGTATATATATTGACAAACATATCTTTCTGTAGTGCATTTTTTGAAAGCATAGTGGGAGTTGGTACTTTCGTTGGAAATCGAAGTTTGGAAGAATATATTCTGCCTTTGATGATTCAATCTCTTTCTGGTAAAATATTTCACTACAACTATTGACATGCACTGGTCATTTATACGTTAGTTAAAATTTTGTTAAAACTATTGAAACCAGATGCGGAAGAATATGTCGTGGAAAAAGTCCTTAATTCTCTCACAAGCTTAGCTGAATTAGGATTATTCCCAAAAATGAAGTTATGGGAATTAATTGCTATTATATCGCCATTAATGTGCCATCCTGGCATATACATTCGTTATGGTAAATTTAATTATATTTTGTGGTTTGAATTTCTGATGTCATAATTACATATCGAATTGTTATTATTTTTCATTATAGGAACCATTGCTTTTGTTGCATCGGCTGTTAAACTTTTACCAACGACGGATGTATGGTGCATAGTATATCCAATAATAAGACCATTTTTGCAGGCAGAAATCGCTGAAGTTACAGAATCCAATTTATTGGAGAATGTTAAAGAACCGGTATAGCTTATTGAATATCTATTTTAGCTCGTGTATTTTATAATGTTTAGCAATTAACATATAATTTACTAGATTCCACGGCCTGTTTTTGATAAAGCTGTCTCTTGGGCCAGCAAATCCAATAAATCTTTGTTTTGGAAACAAGCTAAAGAACGCAAAGCAAACAAATCCGCATCAACGACGGTTTCGGGTAATTCTAGTGTTACAAGCCTATTGTCACGACGGACCTCAACACTTGCAATTAACGCAGGGAAAATTAACAAATCAGAGGAGTATGTTAATATTTATATATAAAATTCGCCTGATTATTTATTGTTAAACTATTCTATTTTTTTAAAAAAATTTTCAATAATAGAGATGAGCAGAACTTGGAAACGATGAGGGGCATGGGTATGACATACGAAGACGAAGAAAAAATAATTGCAATGAGAGATTATATCTATAAATTATCTGTTTCTAAAATTAAGTAGGTCTTGTTTTTTAATGTAATGAATTTAGTTACTTCAAGTCATTAAAATTTATACCTTTAATTGTATTCAAGTACTCGTCCAAGGTTGGATGAAAGCCTTAAAATGGAGGTAGGGTAATAAATATTTCAAGCTTAATTATGCATCTAGTTTAATTCAAAAATTTTTTATATTAGGATGGGTCTATCGTACTGAAAAATTTGGGTATAACCCCTCATAATGTCTTTGTAATGCCAACTAATTCTGATGGGCATACCACAAGAAACAATACTCTTCTGCCCAATGGAACAGTATGTTTTAAAAATTAATGATTTTTTTAAAAATTTATTTAATTATATTAATTTAATCTTTTAATATACACCTTCAATTTAGAATGTTGTTGGGACACCAGGGTAAGTTTAAACAACGTATATTCAAGTTTACTATTATTGATCTAACGTAATGTTATGATCTAGCCCTTATCGGTTATCAAGTGCAAAGAATAGCAAAGCATCTTTAGCAGATCCACCGTTTTCACGAGTTTCCAGTGAAAGTAATCTTCAGCTTCTTAAAGCTGAAGAGCAAGCTCGATTAATTTCTACTAGTCTTCGGGAGGCTAGAATTAATGCAGAAGGAAAATTTCCAGCCAAACCTATTTCATCTTCACTTCAACCTGAATTTGTAACTGGTACTTCATCTTCTACAACTCAACGGAAGAATCTGCCGAATCCTATTACAATCAACGCTTCCTACATGAATTCTCAGGATTCTTTAGTTCCATCTTTATCGACACCATTACGTGAAAGGCACAGTTCGTTGGTCAAAAGGCCAATTGAAAGCCCGAAGGCGGCGCCCGCAACCAGTACTAATACAACAGCCGTTATTGGAACCATGGAAATGCCTCTTCCTGCTGCTTCCAAATCGGATGTAAGCCTAAATAGTATTAATGGCAATGCTAGTCCGCATGTAGAAGAAATTTCAGCGATAAAAAATCTTGGCCCACAAGTAGAAGAAATTCCAACAAGAAAAAATCTTGGCACATTTGTTTCCAGTACATATGGTAAATACCCATTTTTAATGTATCCATGTTATTTGTATTTTTTTTTGATAAATTTTTGAAAATACTTTATAATTTATTAATAGAGGGTAATGATCGAAACGTTAAGAATTTATTGGATAGCTTATATCTTGAAGCATTTCCTGAACCTATGCCAGGTATGTAATTATTTAAATTATGAAATATGTCTGTTAAACATTTGTCGTACAAACTCAATTTGTATTATAATAGAGTTTGGACCGAGAGTGACCAAATCATTGGTTCCACGTCCTGGAACGGCCGCAAGATTAAAAACCATTGCTAACTGGAGACCTGAAGGTTCGCTTAATAAATAGTCTACTTTCTTTTTGGAGTATTTACAAATGATATTTTAGTTTAATTATAATATTATATTTAGGTGCATTGGTAGCTCACATGACAGAACACAAATTATCTATTAATCAAATATGTGTCTCTCCTGATCACAATTTCTTTGCATCATGTTCGGATGACGGAACTATTAAAATATGGGATTGTGCCCGATTTGTCAAGAACTTTAATAGCCGTTCAAGAGTCACATATAGTCAACAAGGTTTGTTGTGTATTTTTGCATTCGAGCTTTTATCATAAGTTGGCTTGACTTTTTATTCTTTTGTAGGTGGTAAGATCAAATGCATGACTTTTATTGATAGCACACATTGCATTGCGGCGGCATCAGATAATGGAAGTATCCACATATTTCGAGTTGACTATTTGCCCTCTGTCCCAGTACCAAAGTATGGAAAACTACAAAACGTGAGAGAAACTTACTTGAGTGGAGAATATGCAGTGGCGATGGAACATTATGATACTGGTTGGTTTTGTGGCATCATATAATTACATATAAATGTTATTTAATTGTACAATATATTAATGTTCTTAATAATTGACAGGCACAGAGTCCATTTTATTTTATGCGACATCCAAAGGAAACATATGTGGACTAGATTTAAGGACAATGCAAATAGTGTGGAAGTTTGAGAACCCTAAAAGCCATGGTGTCATCACAGCAATGGTGTCTGATAAAAAACATAGGTGGCTTCTTATTGGTACATCTAGAGGAATATTTACTCTTTGGGATTTACGATTTCGAATTCAAATTCGATCATGGGTTCACCCTACAAAAAGTCGTATTAGTAGGCTTCTTTTGCATCCTCAAATTGGAAATCAAAAATGGTGGGTAATTATTGCTGCTGGAAAAAATGAAGTTTCGATTTGGGATATAGAAAAGGTCGAATGTAAGGAAGTTTTTGGTGTGAGAGCTGATGAGAAGATTGGTGGTGTTTCTTTGGATATGTTTAAGGTAAATATCACCTATTATTTAAAAATTTAGATAATATTGAGATACAATTTCTAAAACATGATATTCTTTTGTTTGTAGGCCGTCGAACCACCAGGTCCAAATGATATATTGCGAAGTGCTTTTACTGCTCATGAAAGCAGTTTTTCTGCAGATAATTCTATTCGTGCAGTTCTTTATCCGTATGAGTGTAATTATATGATAACAGGCGGGTCAGACCGCAAAATTAGGTTTTGGGATAATAATCGGATCGATGATTCATATGTGATTGTTGGATCAGATACTGACGAAGCCAGACCTACTTATAAGTAAGTCTTTCATTTGTTCGTGTATTTTAATTATTAAGTTTTCAGAAACTTATGAAACTTTTATTTGCACAGCACAAGACCATTTGATGGAATAAAAGTTCACTATGAAATACTATCGTCCACTTCATCGTCTTCACAAAATTCGACACACTCAAACGGACATAACAGTTCAAACCATAGAAATAGTAGTACTAAAAGGCCGTCTGCCAATAATAATAAATCATACAACAATGGAAAAAATCAATTAATCTTTTATCAACAATTACTACTTAAAAACCATTTAGATTGCATAACCGATTTAGCAATTACAGAAATTCCACATCCAATGCTAATTAGTGGAGATAGAGATGGTGTTATTAAAGTATTTTTGTAGGATAGTATTTATTAATATTAGAATAATGTAGTGCATGTTATAAATTTAAACATTTGGGATAGGTAAATAATTATGAATTTGTTAATAGGTTTATAAATAATTAAGCTAGTTTTTTTGGTATTTATAGAAGCTATTTTATGATATTTTATTTGATGGACAATTTTGCAATTTCAAATATATTATTAGATCAATTTGTTTGGTTAATTTTAGTAATTAAATAAAGAATTTATATTTTTGTTTTAATTAAGAATTTTGTTAAAAAGTGCACTGTGTAGTGTACCTCTACTATATTCGAAATTTTACTAAAATAACTTCTTTTGTATAACAAAAATGTTTTTTTTGCAATTTACTCTAATTTTAACTTTAATTCTAACTCTAACTCTAATATTTATCTTTGCTCTAATACTGTATTATTTTATTTGCTGGTAATAATATAGGCGTGCATTAAGTGCATGGGTACACTTTTTAGTAAAAATTTTAATTAAAATAATAATAAAAGAAGTATTATTTATTATTTGATTTTTTAGCAGAGAAGAAAGTACCAAGTATTATACTGTATTAATAAATTGTATATATTATATTTATGTTTATATATAAAGAAATTTTACTATTTATAAAAAATTAGCTAATAAATAACACTTCTCTAATTAATTGGTTTTACTATTCTATACTATAGATATTTAATATTATAAATTTTTACTTTTCAAAATATACTTAATAATTAGAGTTAAAAATACTAAGTAAAAATTTTTAAATTTTTTAAATTTCTACAGTATACAGTATATATATATGGGATGTTTAAAGCTAGTATTATACATGAAATGTGTCTATACTATGTTTATCCAAAATTGTCCAAAATCATCCCAAGTTTAAATAATCAATAAAATAATTTTAAAAAATACATAATTATATATTTTTTTAGGTGCTGGATTCATTTATAAAAAAAATTAAAATAGATTATCTTAATAAAATTTTGAGTAATTTTAATTTGAAAAATTGTTCAAAATTGTTCTATGTATAACACTAAGTATAGTAATAGCAATTTTTGTAAGACTAGACTAGTTATTGTTTTGTATAGTAATGGTAGTGTTGTGGTGGTTAAAAGAGATTGTTAAAGTAGCTTTGGGTAGAATACCCTTGAAGGGTTTAACTATCAGTTAGTGTTTCTATAAACCTAAACTGAACTGAACTTTGGTCAAGTTCAGGTTCAGGTTCAGTTCAATTAGGTTCAGTATTGAACTTTTAAGTCAAGTTCATGTTTAGTTCAGGTTCAGTATTGAACTTTTAAGTTAGGTTCATGTTCAGTTCAGGTTCAGTATTGAATTTTTAAGTCAGGTTCATGTTCAGTTTAGGTTCAGTAACAAAACATAGTAAACAGTAAAAATATGTTTACTAAATTTTTTTTTTGTTTTTAAAATTTCTGAATTTAGAGTTTTTCAACCAAACCTTCTTTCTTTACTAAGTAAACCTTTTTTCAATGTGTAAGTAAAATTGTAGATGAGTGTCTTGCGATCAAAATGGCGGTTAAAACATTAAAATCGGCCTAGTAGATCGTGAGATATAAGTATTTTTGTCTTTGCGATTATATATTTTCTTTTTAATATAAATAAAGAAAAAAGCATATAGTCATGAAGACTAAAATGCTTATATCTCGCGATCTACTGGGCCGATTTTAACGTTTTAACCACCATTTTGATCGCAAGACAATACTCTACAAGTTTAATTAGAAGCTAAAAAGAGATTTACTAAGTAAAGGTATAAAAATCACAATATTTTTATAATTTTATTAATAAAATTATAGAAAATATTTAAATCCACAAAATTATATTAATTAAATCTATCTTTATGCTCTAAGTAAACTG